GAATGGGGATCAAATTTAAAGTATATCTAAACCCAAAACCAAAAATGACATGCAGGGCAGCTTACCATTGCTTAGATGTTGTGGCGGCATTCGTTTTAATTTTTCAAGCTAAGAACATTTTTAGCAAGTACAGAACATGCATGTTGATCCTGCCAGAAATGCCGTGCTCTGGTCACTTCCTGTGAGATGAACTGGAAGCATAGACATCCTTATCTTTATTGTGTAAACCACTAGTCCCATCAATCCACCGTGTAATGGCGATGAACATAGGCAGACGTGTTTGAAGTCCAGCCTGTATAACAGCTATGGCCCCCTCCATTGATACAGTGGAGGAGTGAACGTAGACACTAAAGCTGCCCATACACCTATTGATGTTCTGCAGATTTTTTATGGCCAGATGCAGGGGCGTAACTAGAAATCATAGGGCCCCATAGCAAAATTTTGTATGGGGCCCTGCGATTTTTAGTTACACACCTTGCAGAGCCCACCGGAGATCCCACACAGCCCACCTGAGAGTGACCCTGCAGAGCCCACCGTAGACTCTCTATGGTGGGCTCTGCTGGGTCTCAGGTGGGCTGGTCACACCCCTGCACACCCCTAACCTGTCAGCCACGATCCGCTGTCAGCCTCCTCCACCGCTGGGCCCTGCCTCCTCCTCCACAGTTGCCGGTGGGCCCCGTCTCCTCCTCCTCCACAGTTGCCGGTGGGCCCTGCCTCCTCCTCCTCCACCGCCACCGGGCCTTGCCTCTTCCTCCTCCTCCACCAGCAATGGACCCCTTCTCCTTCGCTGCTGCTGCCAGGCCCCGGCCTCCTCCACTGCAGCTGCTGGCTGTCACTGACTCAGCAGCGGCTGTGAGGAGGAACGTGCCGCGGCACAGATGACAGGTTGTCAGTGACAGCGGCGCGTTCCTCCTTTACAGCCACCAGTGACAGCCAGCAGCCTGCGATGCCATAGCGACCCAGACGGCCTGCATGGCATCAGGGGGACCCCTTAGTTCCTCGTCCTAGCTGGGCCCCCCTGTGCCCCCAGGCCCCATAACGGCCGCCTGGGTTGCTATGGCGATAGTTCCACCACTGGTCAGATGGAAAAAGTGCAACAGATTCCTCCATCTATGCTAAACTGTGTGGATGGAGGACTCTTCCGCTGGGCCAAGCTTCAGTATCTCGCAGGTCGGCCCCGCTGGCTCTCAAAGTACCTGAACAATCTGATTGGATGCAGGCATTGTTCAGGTGTTTTGAGAGCCAGCGGGGCCGACCTGCGAGATACTGAAGCTTGGCCCAGCGGGAAGTTCCTCCATCCACTCAGTTTAGACCCCGTTCACATATAGCGACATACCTTTGCAGCGGCCGGGATAGCGCGACTTTCGGGGCGACGTTCCAGCGACGATCCAGCGACGGTAGCGCGACCTTCTCCGTCGGGCTCCATAGAAAAAAAGCAAAATCGCGCAAAATCCGCTGTAAAAGGGTCCGGTAGAAGCGACTTGCTACCGCGACGAGCGACGTGCGACATGGAGTTAAGACAGCTCCATTGAATAGCATTGGCCGGCGACTTCTCGCGATATCGCGCGGCAAAAATGCGCGATATCGCGGCGGAAATCGCGCGACAATGCGCTATATGTGAACGGGGCCTTAGCGTAGATGGAGGAATCTGTTGCACTTTTTCCATCTGACCGTAGAAAATCTGCAGATACTCTATAGGTGTATGGGCAGCTTCAGGAACAGGAACTGTGTTACTGGCGGGATCACCAGGTGAAAATAAAGGAAAAGAAAACTAACGCAGCCAGTACATCTAAGAACTGCTAAGCTGCAATGAGGAAGCTGCCATTTTAAAAAGGAGGCGTTCACTGGAAGTCTATGAGATTATATTTGTACATTGTATCAGCTGAAAGATCACTTTATATCCAGAGCAGAAATTGTTTCCATCAGTGACGAGAAGGTTAGTGGCCGGGGAGGGGGGTCAGCTTCTGTATAGGAAGGGGGAAAGCAGGGGGGCCACTGCACATCTACATAACTCAGAGATTAAGGGGGCTATTTTCGTGGTGAGATTTGCGGTGTTTCCTTTCTGGGAGTGTCAAAGGCCAAAGAGCGATGAGAGAGGTGACTTTGTTCTTGGCATTTAAGCTTCATATAAAGGTTTAATCATAGGCAGAGCCAGCAGGGCAGAGATGATCAACACAGTATATATTATATAGTGTGCCTGTCTTGGTCTGCGCAGGCTCTTGAGGTGTGCATTGTGGCCATTGGCAAGTGCATGTGACCTGTATATACGGGCTTCAGCTTGTATAAGAACAGGGTGTGCATTTGTTTCTGCCAAGCTTCAAGGAGCTGCATTGAATCTTTAAAGCCCATCTCCAGGCAATAAAAAAATACCCTTGCATTGGGGCTACCTGCAGCCAGCAAAGGAGGCGGAGCTCTATCTGGCTTGCTGCAGCTTCTAATGCACATTGTGAGAAGCTCCCAGTGTGCGGTGATATCGGGGGGGGGAGGCAATTTCAGTCCAGGAGTGGAGCCGGTACAACTGTAAGACTGAAGGGAAGTACCCTTATAGTGGGGCTACCCCCGTATTGCAAGGGCTGAGTGCTCGTTTTTGTCTGGAGGGCTGGAGGAAAGCAGATTTACTTACCTGATCCCCACCAGCTCCCTCCGGGCTGCAAGACTTGTCCCTGCAGCTTCTTTTTTCCAGGCCTCTGGAGGTCTAAGGACCGCTAACCTCATCAAGTCCGATGCAAATTCCATAGATTCTCATTAGGCACAAGGGCTCTGAGGGACATTCCACCATCCGAGGGGGAGAAGCGAAGAGCCCTGACCACCAGCAGGAGCGGGGATCAGGTAAGTTAATCTGCTTTACTCCAGCCAAAAACCAAGCACTTGCAATGCGAGGGCAGCCCTACTGCAAGGGTACTTTTTTTTGTTTGCCCAGAGATGTGCTTTAAAGTTCTCCTTCCCTTCAGTCTTCTATGTGACCTCCGTCCTTCCCTTCGGTCTTCTATCTGACCTCCGTCCTTCACTTCAGTCTTCTATCTGACCTCCGTCCTCCCCTTCAGTCTTGCACAGTTGTACCAGCTCCTCTCCTGGACTGAAATGGCTTCCTCTGATGTCACTGTACACTGCGAGCTTCTCACAATGTGCATTAGAAGCCACAGCAAGTCACATAGAGCCTGCCTCATTTCCTGGCTGGAGGATATCAAGCTGAGTCGCTATTCTGAGCCGCTGTCCGTGACCATGATGCATGGACAGGGCGGCACAAACACTATTGGAGGTGTTCAATAAGTAATGCTAAACTGCTTTATAGAATAGGCTCCTTTATCTGCGAGGGTGCTAGAAATCGGAGACCTGGGAGCTGGCATATACTCAATTCTCCCTGAGCCAGAAAATCAAGGAAATCAGGCAGATGGTGGGCATCACTGGCCTGGGAGATGGCGGGCACCACTGGCCAGGCAGATGGTGGGCATCTCTAGTCAGGCAGATGATGGGCATCACTGGCCAGGAAGAATGTGGGCATTACTGGCCAGTCAGATGGTGGGCAACTCTGGTCATACAGATAGTGGGCATCACTGTCCTGGGAGATGGCGGGCACCACTGGCCAGGCAGATGGTGGGCATCTCTAGTCAGGCAGATTATGGGCAACACTGGCCAGGAAGAAGGTAGGCATCACTGGCCAGGCAGATGGTGGGCATCACTGGCCTGGGAGGTGGCGGGCACCACTGGCCAGGCAGATGGTGGACATCTCTAGTTAGGCAGATGATGGATATCACTGACCAGGAAGATCATAGGCATCACTGGCCAGGAAGATGGTGGGCATCACTGTCAAATAATTGACCACCCAAGGCAGGAGGGGTTGGTTTAGACCTTGACTTTGACCTGTAGGTACTCACTTCTAAATACTGCTGGCAGTTGAATAACTTGTTATTACAGGTTTAGTTTAAAAGTCATCTTCTGACAATTTTTTTTTTAGTTCTGGATGGAGTGCAGAAGGACTATAGCACTCTTATGAGTTTTAAAACAACTCTGGTACTGTACAAAAGGAGAGCTATCCCTCTTAGTTCTCACTGGTTCCTTCAGCTGACCTCCATATCTTCGCTGGAGACAGTAGTGACATAGAGGTCAGTGGGAGGAACCATTGAGAGCTACCGGGAACCAAGGAGATCAACACTCTTTGAAGTGTTGACTTCCCATAAAACTCTAGGGGGCAATTTTTACTAAACAGATTGGTGTTAGGCAGAACATCTGACAACACTGTGCTCCATTCTTCCATCAGAACCCAAAGTCAAACCTTGTGTAAGCTTGTGTTGGATGGTGTTGGGTCTTACAGTGGATTTATGATTTTATACCCTCCCTCACTGGACAGTGTTTGCACTGGCAACTGGCGACTCAGGTCCAAGTATGCATGCTGAGAGATCACATGCTTCGTCCCATACTCTGCATTTTTGTGAGGGCTCTGAGGAAACTGCAGAGCTAAGTGGGTTGGTTGGTTTTTCTCAAGCTTCGAGCTTGAGAAATAGCCGGTATTTATTTGTAATTAAAGAGCTCTTTTTACGTCTTTAAGACCTATGTGCAGGCTGCCAATATATATTTTGGATGCTTTAAGTGGGTTTAGAGGTATTGGGCAAGTGAGAGATTGACATGTTGCCCTGAATGAGCCATGTGATGGATTATCTTTGCGTAGGCTTGATTGGCTACTACAAAGCTAATTTCATATGTAACCATGTTATAGCCTTGAAAGCATAAAAAAGAATGTCCTCTCTGTCTCAAAGATCCAGAACTTATCCCCATTCTGATTTGACTCTGCTCCAGCCCCGGAGCTTATCAATAAAAAAACAAGCTGTTCTCTGGCCCCGAGCCATGGTGCCAGCTGTGTCTCCCAGAGCCTTGCCAACCCTGGTTGGTATAATGAACTTAACAGCTATTTCTTTCAAAACAGCATCCTCCTTTTAATGAGACTTGAGATCTCTTTCTTTATTTTCACCTAATGATTTTCTATTTCTTTTCAGGTTGCCAAGATGGATTGCAGCTTGTTCAGCGGGGCCCCGCGGTTCCTGACCAGGCCCAAAGCCTTTATGTTATCCATAGGTAAGGATGCCACTCTGAGTTGTCAGATCATTGGAAATCCCACCCCCACAGTCACCTGGGAAAAGGACAAGTTCCACATTGAGTCAGGAGGCCGCTTCAAGATGACAGAAGATGGTGGCTTATTTCAGCTCACCATATATGACCTTGTGGCACAAGACAGCGGCCAATACATCTGCAGGGCCATCAATGACATTGGTGAATCTTTCGCAGCGGTCACCATCAAGGTTGGAGATGAAAAGGAGAGCACCCTAGTGGAATGCGCGCCATTTTTCATTCTGAAACCAACCAACACTAGGTTGAACCTGGGCGAAGATGCCACTTTCCGCTGCAGAGTACAGGGTCACCCACGGCCAGCCGTCAGTTGGGAAAAAGATGGGAAGGCCTTGGGGACACCGAGCGACTCAAACCGGATTCGCATTGAGGCTGACGGGGACTCAAGCACTTTGAGGATCCTCTGCATCCGGTTTGCAGATAGTGGGACCTATATCTGTTGGGCCGAGAGCCCTGTAGGCCATACCAAGGCGTCCGCTTCACTGCTTATCGACTCTTTCTCCAACCTCAACGCCAACAGCACCGCTGCCCTGGAACCTGCTTATGGTAAAACAACATCGCTTTTGTCTCACCTGCAGAAAAGGCGAGAGGAAATACGGAGAACTGACCTTTCCATACTTGGTTCCTATGAATCCAATGCAAATGCAACTTCCTACGGTGCTCTAGACCAACTGACCGGTCTAGGCTTGGGCTTGTCACTTGACTATGAAAGGGCAGCTACTCTTACCCCCAAAATAGGACGGGATAGCGCCTACAGCGTCCTCACACGCACCTGCACGGTGACGGAGGGCAAACACGCCAAAATGAGCTGCTTTGTCACCGGCGAGCCCAAGCCTGAGATAGTTTGGAAAAAGGACGGAGAGGTCATCTCGGAGGGGCGCAGGCACGTCATCTATGAGGATGAGCAAGAAAACTTTGTCCTGAAAATCTTATTCTGCAAACAGATCGACAACGGATTGTACACGTGTACAGCATCGAACCTGGCCGGTCAAACCTACAGCTCCGTGCTTGTCATAGTGAAAGGTTAGTGCCATATGGGACTATCATGTGCAAGTGGGAGGGTCTAATTATTGTGCCATTGCTACCTATTAATAACATCTGGGCTTCTTTTAATTTGCTTGTACTCAATTGCTGTGGCTACTCTCAAGCTAGACATTGGTACCAGGACCTTGGCTACTCTCAAGCTAGACATTGGTACCTTTTACTAAATGACTAATGTGATAAACTAAGTTGGAGGATAAACCACCTATAAGCTGATCTAGGGTTGCACAGATACCAAGTACAGTACTCGGTACAAGTACGAGTACATGTACCGATACTTTTGAGCTCCAAGACTACACTAGAGAAAAATTCAAAGGATGCCGCTGTCATTTGTAAGGAGCACACGGAGCTCCTGGGAGTTCTACATCTCTGTTTTAATGTACGATTTAGTTTTTATAAATGTAAATAAAGGGATGCACAGATACCAGTTTTGCGAGTACGAGTACTGGTACTTGCCGAGTACTTACAAGTACGAGTACTGATACATTTTTGTTTATTGTCATGTGACAGTTTTTCTAAAACTATACAGACTAATGATTTCAGGACAGTGGTAGGGTGCCAGAGCCAGGTCCCAGCTGCAACCTCTGCAACCCTGGGAGTTCTCATGAAAATGCCAAGTATCTGCACTGGTACTCAAAAAGTATCTGTGCATCCCTAGCTGATACCCATAAGCTGACAGTTGGCCCACTCTCCCTACCACCCTTTAGAGTATAAAAGAAATTTGGAGGATGCTATTGATGTCCTTTCACTTGCTTCTTTCCTGAAGGTTATGCCAATGCGCAACACTTTTTTAATCACATACCTTGAATCAGTACAGGAAAAATAAATTCTGCCTTTTGTGGGCCTGACACACCCAGGACATTAGCATCTTTTCAGAGGGAGGCCTGCAGTAGCAGCTTCCATGTTTTTCACATGACAGGTGCACTTTAAAGTGAACTTTTTCTTGGCCACCATTCTGGCTCCCAAGCTTATTTTCCTTTTTACCCCCCACTACTGCACTCCGTAGCTAGGAATAAAGGGATAGAAGGCCATGTGTCACTGTTTAAGGCTTTCATGGTGCTAAGGACCATCACCAAATGGTCAATCACCAAACATAAGTACTGTCACATGGAAGGAAGGTGAATAGGTTCACCATGCTCCCCATAGAATTACTGGGAGTTTATTTTCTTCTTGAAGAGGGGCAGTGGAAAGAAAGTGGGGGTAAGTGTGTGCTGCTGGTGGGGTTGCCATTTAAGTCACGCTGTTGCTTTCAGGCACATTGATGTCAAAGAGGCTCCTGACCAGCAAATGTTTCACTAGACACCTTGACCTTAAGGTGGACCTGTACTTTCATACTTGCCAACACTATGGCACCATGATTCCAGGATACTGTTAACCCCACCCACAGGTTGCATGTTGTCTGCCCACTCTTTGGGTGGGCACGCCCAAGTCATGCCCACTTTATAAGTAGACCACGCCACTAGCTATGAGGCTACCACCCACCCTGAGTCCGATCCCTGCAGTTACTTCTTGAGTTATTGAACTTGTGCAGTAACACATATAAGATCGATGCTGTGACTCCAGGACATAGCCCAGGACACAGCATCGGTGGGACAGAGGGCCAAGATGCGGGTCTCATAGAACACAGTTGACATCTATGAACTTTATGCTAGTTACAGGTTTGCTTTACAAGAAGGTCCATAAGTTGCTGATCATTAGATATAGCCGTTCAAGCTTCTTTAGCAAGTCACAATGTACACATGGCTAAGCACCCTCACACTGCCCCGAGTGACAGCACCCAGTCCCTACAGTTGGCCACTTAGGCATCGAGAACCTCACTGTGCCACTGTGTGTGGGGGACATGGGAAGTATCATATGTACCTCATACCTGAAAGAACAATCTTAAATTGAATTGGCACAGCGTGTGAGTGCAGGGAACTTAAGGGCCCTCCAGCAAAAAAACAAAACTGCTAGTATGTGCAAAGCACAAGTTTGCATTACATACGATGGCATTTACTTGATCTTGAGGGAACTGATGCTGTAGCATCCTTTCCTGCCTGTGGGCTTCCCAGGAACAAACAAATTAGAGCATGGGTGGGAGATTTAAAGGGTCTGTCCAGTCAAAACTATAACAGGGGGATCTGGAACACACATAGGTGGCTAGGAACATCCAAAAATTCCAGTTGTACAGGAAAAGTCAGGAATTATGGCCAGGAGATTTCACTGTTGGGGTATCTAAGACATATAAAAGGCCAGGAGCTAACTCAAGTCCACCATGTGCCACCTTTCACTTAAATATCACTTTTGGGTAGACCAACTCTTTTATGTGACCCTGTCAGGTTAAAAAACTTACTATGTAAATTATGGCCAGGAGATCTCACTTTTGGAGTATCCAAGACATATACGAGGCCAGGAGCTCTCAGGTCCACCATGTGCCAACTTTCACTTAAATATCACCTTTGGGTAGACCAACCTTTTATGTGACCCTGTCAGGTTAAAAAAAGTGAGATCAAAGATTGTGGAAGAAGAGGTAGAAGTGGTGTTATACCCACCTCTCTGCCATGTGTCTCCTCAACTCCCCTCCAACCCACCTCTCTGGCACGTGTCTCCTCTACTCCCCTCCAACCCACCTCTCTGGCACGTGTCTCCTCTACTCCCCTCCAACCCACCTCTCTGGCACGTGTCTCCTCTACTCCCCTCCAACCCACCTCTCTGGCACGTGTCTTCTCCATTTCAGTGCTGAAGCCTCTGTGATACACTTTGGAATTTGACACTTCCGGGAGTGTTGGGTGTCTATGTTGCTCGGGCTGAGCGCTATGGTTTCTTTCTCCGACCTCTGCGACACTAATGAGTCCCATAATGATGGAACGGTCAGAGGATATAACCATGGTGTGTGGGTGGTGGTGGGGGGATACAGATACAGTATCTGACATGCCTCCTGCAGCACTGCAATAGATGGAAGGTAGAAGACATGGACCACTGCAGAGGTGAGTATAACATCTCCTATATTGCTGGAGACTTTAATGTCCCTTTTTTACCCTGATAGGGTATCTTTAAAACATTGAATTACACTTGGCTAAATGTCACCCCCGCACCGCACTGATTGTACACTGGACTGTCAGAAGATCCAGGTTTGGAATCCTTTGATACTGCTTGGCACTGAAGTCCTTGGTATCATATCATAGATATAAGCCATTAGGGGCTAATTAAAACATATGCTAGTTCAGGCCAGAGATACAGGGGAGACCTTGAGGTTAACCTTTTGCTGGAAGCATTGTGTGCTGCAAATAAGACACATAAGACACAACTGTCATATGACCAATGTATGCATTTTATAATGCATTAAAGCATTACTCCAACAGAAATGTAATACATTGCAGCTTACCAGACCTTAGATATGATGGCTGCATTCGTTTTCTTTTATCAGTGTAAGAACATTTTCAGCAAATACAGAAAATACCTGTTGATTCTGCCAGAAATAGTGTCGTTGTCACTTGCTGAAAGCCAAAAGAAATTTAAAGAACTATGGGGTCAGGGCTTTTCCCCATAGTTCTCCTTAGGGTAACGGGAGGACACAAACTAGCGTCCTCCTGTTACCCTAAGCTCAGTATACCGCGAGCTACAGCTCGCGGTATACTGAGACGCCGCAGCTGGAGCGGTCAGGATCGATGTCGAGATCCGCCCAGCTGCGTGAGTGACAGCTGGCTCTGCCTATCTAGAGGCAGAGCCAGCTGTACCCGCCCCCTCCCCCGTCCGTTCCGCCAGTCAGCGCTGGCGGATCGGAGCGGGGAGGGGGGAATCCAGCCCCTCCCCTGTCACGGCAGAGAGCCATGACAGGATCGAGAGGTGAGTGAACATGCAGCCCCCACCTCTAAGGACCGGTACCCCGCAATGTATTACATTTTGCTTTTTGGGTTTAGATACATTTTAGCCTTTGCTGTACTCTTATGCTACAACACAGCCGTTATCAACCCGTTATTAACCCTTTCATGACCATTGCAGTCATTGTAACTTAAATCTAGCAGTGTCAATGAATTCTATGAATAATTATATATAGATTACGGCCCTGAAATGGGTTAATGTGCAGTGCAGCCTGTGCTTGTGGTATACCCCACCGGGGTGGGTCATTTTGTAACACCCTCCTTCTTTATATGACAAACGTATACACACGGACAAACGCACAACAAACAAACACACACACATACTAAGGTTGAACTTGATGGACTTGTGTCTTTTTTCAACCTCAGATAGAATGTAACTATATTCATTAACAACCATGAAATCAAAAAAATATAGTCCATAAAAAAACAGTAAACTAAAAGGTTTAATTAATACCCTCAACTCCAATATAAATGTACTTTGCTTTTTAACTTCAATATAAAACGAATGTTCGTAAAGGAACGAAAATACGTCAACGGAATTTCGTATTTACTGCCTGTGTGTGTAACTGTGTATTGTAATGCATCCCTCAGCAGCAGCGGATCCGGATCTCGGATTAAAAAAAAAATCTTGTCATGTTGTTCAACCTCATTAGTTCCTGTTTCAAAGACATTCGGAATTTCGTATTTCGGATATAATTCTGAAACTGCCATTCGGATTTCGGATGCTCCGAAATTCGGAATTTCAGGAAAATTCGTACGAATTTCGATTCGTAACGAAACGAATCGCACATGTCTACTTTGCAGAGAACACTGAGCCAGACACATCAGCCTCTGCACCAGAAGAGCTTACACTCTAAAGTCCATTCCAGTGTCACCCATTTTGGGTCAGAGTTGGTAAACTCCCCTTCATTTTCCAGGAAAGGAAGCATTTAGTATCCAGATTTCCTGCGGATTTTTATCTTTAGAGATGTGCGTTATGAAAGACTCCGATGAAAATGTTTATGGTGGCATCTCAGATAACTCTCCTCCTATATTCAGTGTGCAGCATGTCAGGTTCCCAGCTATATATAGACTCAGCTTGGAGTTAATCCCCAGATACAGCTCCTCCAGTGTTGCCGACCTTCCAAAATAGAATGGAGGCAGTCAAACAGTTATCTGTAGAATGTATAATAGTTCACAGGCTCTGAGGTGTGTCAGATATCTGGTTGGGAATCACTATATAAAGTTAGGCAAGATTTGCTTCTAGTTTATGAGTGCTGCTACCGTAGTAAGAAATGAAGATTATAAATCTCCTCTCCTCCCCAGTTCATGTCTATCCCGCTGCCCCTTTCTTTCCTCATGGTCCATGATCATCTTCTGTTCTGCCTAGTATACCCTCCATCACAGTCCCCAATCAGCTTACACTCTTCCCCCATGTCCAATGTAGTGGGATGACACAGTTTACCTAATAACATGTTACCAGCTACAATATTATCTGATTGGGCAGCAATGTATCCCAAAGTACTGAATCACCAGAGGACAGAAACCATTCAGTCTAAAGTAACCAGCTCAGGAATTTGTTAGTTTATTTGCAAAAGAAAATGGGAATATGAGTTTCCATTATCAGTATGACGAGCTTCTCACCTCTGTATAGTGTACTCTTCGTGGAGACCTCAGGAGCCTATTGTGTGGAACTCTCAGGAGCTCACTGCATAGAGGGCTTAGGAACTTGTAGACCTTAGGATCATACTGCATGGAAATCCCAGGAGATCACTAGATGTAGACCTTAGGATCATACTGCATGGAAATCCCAGGAGATCACTAGATGTAGACCTTAGGATCATACTGCATGGAAATCCCAGGAGATCACTAGATGTAGATCTTAGGATCATACTGCATGGAAATCCCAGGAGATCACTAGATGTAGATCTTAGGATCATACTGCATGGAAATCCCAGGAGATCACTAGATGTAGACCTTAGGATCATACTGCATGGAAAATAGTTAACTGCATGGAGACCTCAGGAGCTTACTGCAATGAAGGTTGGGCTGCTTACTGCATGGAGACCTTAGGAGGTTACTGTGTAGAGACCTTAGAAGCTTACAGCATGGAGACCTTAGAAGCTTACAGCATGGAGACCTCAGAAGCTTACAGCATGGAGACCTCAGAAGCTTACTGCACTGAGACCTAAGTGTTTAACACACTGAGACCTCAGGTGCTGACTACATGTAGACCTCAGGGATCACTGCATGGAGACATCAGGTGCTTATTGCACAGAAACCTCAGGCGCTTACTGCATTGAAGCCTGGGCTGCTTACTGCATGGATACCTTAGGGGGTTACTGTGTATAGACCTTAAAAGCATACAGCATGGAGACCTCGAGAGCTTAATGCACTGAGAGCTCAGGAACTTACAGCACTGAGACCTTAGGTACTGACTACATGTAGACATCAGGTGCTCATTGCATGTAGACCTCCGGAGCTGACTGCATCACACGTTCAGGAGCTTACTGCCCTTTGACATATCTTAAATATATGCAGATCTGTAATTTTTGCATTCTAGAGGAGAATCACATAGCTGATAAATTACAAATGCCCACATTACCGAAATATCTAAAATTAGCACATTTTGGGTTTCCATTATTTACAAGTTTTCTTTCCCTTTCAAATAAAAATAACTCAGATTTCTTTTATTAGGAAGTTTTAAAATGTGAATTCTGTATTGGTAAATTTGATTTTTATTTATTTTTTGTCATGAAGAGCCCAGAATCCCATTCAGATCTAAGCTGAGAGACCTGGAAGTTCGAGAAAAGGAATCTGCCACCTTCCAGTGCGAGGTCCCTCACACCATCACCGAATCAGCATGGTACAAAGAGGAAAACAAAATCCAACAGAGTGCCAAATACAGCATCGAGGAGCAGGGGACCCTCCGAAGGCTCACCATACAGAACGTCACCACGGACGATGACGCAGTCTACATCTGTGAGATGAAGGAGGGCAGCCGAACGATTGCAGAGCTCTCTGTTCAAGGTCAGTCCATCCAAAACTGATATTTGAGGTTTGCATAGTTGTGTTTTCATGCTACAGTGGGGTATGAACCAACAGACCGTAGCACCATGTTGTTAGTTTGGGATGTCCGGCTCCCTTTGACAATTGTTACTGATCAGACCAAAATCACCTGGCTCCTTTACTGCTTTGTATATTATGCTTACCATAATAACCCAACTGTGTCCTGTGGATCTATAGAATTGTATGCGACTTACCCATCTCCTTACGGAATGCCAATGTTTTGGAGACTTTGAGTCTTTATAGTATGTCAGCTGTCTAGAAGGAGATCAACTAGCTGGGGATCCAACCCCACAAACTGATATTTTTAGAGGAGGGATATTCTTCCTCCCCCCTCTGCTAGAAAAGACAGGACCTGCCTGGATTGTCAGTTAGACAGAGGCTGCAATCAAGCAAGCAGGCAGTAGAAAGGTTGTGTACATATTAATTGATATTTACATATTTCACATCAGTGACTCACAAAATAGTAATACACAGTTCACGATGTCTGCTCTGGCGCTTCTATTTTCAAAGGCAAGTCAGCAATTGCATTTTTTCACATTGCTATCCTAAAAGGTTCCTTTTAAATTACAGCGACATTGAGGATACGAGCTATTACTTCTCTTGCATTGTTCTAATAGCTGTCATCTTAGGATCGCCAGGCTAACCTTAGCTGCCTCACTGAAGTACATAGCGTGCCTCCTTTGGTGTACTCTTTCTGCTTAAAGGAGAACTATGGGGTTAAGGCTTTTCCCCATAGTTCTCCTTAGGGTAACGGGAGGACACAAACTAGCGTCCTCCGGTCACCCTAGGCTCAGTATACCGCGAGCTGCTGATCGCGGTATACTGAGACGCCGCAGCTGAAGCGGATCCTGACAATTATGTCTGGATCCGCCAAGCTGCGTGAGTGACAGCTGGCTCTGCCTATCTAGAGGCAGAGCCAGCTGTACCCGCCCCCTCCACCGTCCGTTCCGCCAGTCAGCGCTGGCGGATCGGAGCGGGGAGGGGGGAATCCAACCCCTCTCCTGTCACGGCAGAGAGCCGTGACAGGATCGAGAGGTGAGCGAACGCCGCTATGTGTTCGCTCACTTCCCGATCTACTAAGCCGACCTGTGACAGTCTCATTGTCACAGGTCGGCTAGAACTATGAGGTGAGTGAATAGCACTCGCCTCATAGTTCTCCTTTAAGGAGTGGCCTTCATCTGTGGGTACAATAATAATCATACATGTGTAGCCTAGGCCTGGGAGCAGGCTGGAAAGCACCCAGCCCTGGCTGGACTCTGGGCTATCCCAGAACTGGACTGAGCACATGGCAATTTCCTTGAGTATATATACCCTGTCCCAGCATGCAACACTGGCCTTAACGCCTATGATGCAAAAAAAAATTAAAAATGAAACAACTACAACAGTGTCTTCAAGTGTGTAGGGCACCCCATAATGGGCCGCAGAGAGTGTAACGGGTCTTCCAAGCCTGTCTAGGGGATATGAAGCAACAATGGTCCCAATAGCATTAATCGCCCCGCACTGGATACTGATAGAGTTGAGATCCAGGCATGAAATATGATGCTGCAGAACTTTTATTAGAACATATGAAGCGGGAGAGCGTTTTTTGGGCTTACGACATCCATGGAAAACAAACAGATAGGACAAAACTCCAGACTCTCCAGTCCCTTTCAATATTCCACACTATAGGATTAATAGGAACACACGCTGACACTGGGTATTGGAGCAACAGCCGAAGAGGGATGGGTGTGAGATCTTCAATAGGAGGGACACCAGACTTGCTCCTGAGGTCCATTCCAATCCAGGCACCTTCAGCAGCCATAAGCTTCCCTGGTTCTCCCCCTCAATCAGTTTCACGCCTCCTCCAAACTTGAGGCCTAGCGAAGAATTTCCTGCACTCTGGCATTTCCACCCCCAGGCCTAGGCAACATCCAGCCCTGACTGGACTCTGGGCTATTCTAGAACTGGACTGAGCACATGGCAATACCCTTGAGTATATATACCCTGACCCAGCATGCAACACTGGCCATGAAAGCCTCAGTGATTGGCTGATGGACTGCACACACACTCACAGTGTCCCCTCATTGGCTGTCCCACACTGCAGCAGAGTCACACGCCACCCAGGCAGGTACAATGAATGCCAGAACACCTGGAATTAACCAGATAAATGCCAACTATAATCCAGCCAGACTGACTACAGCTCCGGCAACCACTAAAATTCTAGTAGCCGCCTCACAAAAGGTGATGGGGGCTACAAGTGCATTGCGGTATCCCCGCTCTCTTATACAAAGGGGATTGTCACAATTTGTACCCCTTCATTTTCATATAACACCCGTGCTTGTATCTCATTGAGCATGGGAAGGCAGAGGAAGCCCGGAGGCTCTAAAGGTTGGTACAACAGAGCTTTCTTAGTATATTTGTTTGGCTCAGCGAGCAACAAGACACAAGTTATAATTCTATATTCATCCTCCTCCGTCGTGATGCCACGGATTCCTCAGACATCATAAAGTCCTGCTACATAGACACGTATTAGTTATTAATAACTCATACACTGGAGAGGCAGTGATACCAGCGGGCTAAACTAGGAACTCCACAGCCTACAACACTCCTCCTTCCTCTGTACTGGGATAAACTGGCTAAGGGGTCCCGTCCATTTTATACATTTAATGGGTAATATCTATATATGCCGGGGGTGGGCAACTCCGGCCCTCCAGCTGTTGTGGAACTGCAAGTCCCATGAGGCATTGCAAGACTGACAGTTACAGGCATGACTCCCAGAGGTAGAAACATGTTGGGATTTGTAGCTAAAGCATAGCTGGAGGGCTGGAGTTGCCCACCCCTTCACATATACAGTGGGGGGGGGGGGGGGGGGGCGGTAAGGGGGACTTATCAAAGCTGGAGCAGCTGTGCATGGCAACCAATCATCTTCTCTCTTCAGTTTGTTTAGTTAAGATTTGAAAATGAGAGAGAGGCACTGATTGGTTGCCGTGCACAGCTGCTCCTGATTTTGTCTGCTCCAGTCTTGATGAATTCCCTTCACTATATATAATGTAAATAATGGGATTGGTCTGGTTAGTTAGACACCACATCCTGTATGATATCAAATACTAATGTGGTATACAGGACTTTATAGGTGCCAAAGTGATATATAACAAAATATAACATATACAAAAAACTTAAAGGAGAACTATGAGGGGGAGGGGCTTTTCATTCCCCTCATAGTTCTAGCCGACCTGTGACAATGAGACTGTCACAGGTCGGCTCAGTAGATCAGGAGGTGAGCGAACACATACCGGCGTTCGCTCACCTCTCGATCCTGTCACGGCTCTCTGCCGTGACAGGGGAGGGGCTGGATTCCCCCCGCTCCCATCCGCCAGCGCTGACTGGCGGAATGGACGAGGGAGGGGGCGGGTACAGCTGGCTCTGCCTCTAGATAGGCAGAGCCAGCTGTCAGTCACGCAGCTGGGCGGATCCCGGCACAATTGTCGGGATCCACTTCAGCTGCGGCATCTCAGTAGACCACGAGCTACAGCTCATGGTATACTGAACCTAGGGTGACGGGAGGACGCTAGTTTGTGTCCTCCCGTTAACCTGAGGAGAACTATGGGGAAAAGCCTTAACCCCATAGTTCTCCTTTAATAAATGACTTAAAACTACATAAAAAACTTGTGTTTAGGTTCAAACATATGTAACAAAAGATTCTCATAGATTTCCTCCACGTGTATGATTCAAAGAATCGCTCTAGTCTGGTGAATTATCTAGGCCCCACCTTCCCAATGATATCAAATAGACATGCGCGATCCGCTTAGTTCCGAATCAAAATTCGTATGAATGTTTCGAAATCCGGACATTCGGATTTCCGAATCCCAATGCATCCGAATCCAAATTTCCGTTTCCGAATTTGAGTACGAGTACTCGCCCAAATACTCGGCATCGGCACCGATACTAGTATCGGTATCGGCGCATCCCTAATTAATACGATATTTAAGATAAAGTTGCTCTTTGTTTTTTTGTAAACGTTTCGAATAAGAAAACAGAGATTCCATTTAACACGCTGAACGTAATTTTGCCTTTTGAAATTCCACACATTTCTCACACAGGTAACATCATCAAGAAGCTGCCGCGGCGGACGGCGGTCCCGGTGAACGATACGGCCATCTTCTGCGTGGAGCTGGACGACGACTGCCAGAAGTCGAAGTGGATGATCAATGGTGAAGAAGTGAGGCCAGGCGGACGGATCTCCATTTCATCTGCGGGCAAGCAGCACACCATGATCATCCGGGAGTGCCAGAACTCCGACGCCGGGGAGATCGCCTTCATCGCCGACGAGTGTAAAACGTCCACCAAGTTCACCGTAACCAGTGAGTGCTTCTAATACGGTTTACACATCCCTGAGCTTACAGTATATGAGTCGCACAAGCTCTGCATGCCAAATGTTATACGGTAGTAATGCTTGTATGAAATGCCGGCGTTAGAGCCAGGGCCGGTGCTAGACTATTTTGCGCCCTATGCAAGACCAGCTACTTGCACCCCCCAGCCCTCCTCGTGCTGCGCAACCCCTAATCACCCCCCCACGCGTGGCCCCATTCTCCTGCCGGGTAGCTGCCACAGGCGACAGGTGGATGTAATTTAATTTGAAATAGCCAATAGCAGACTGGCTATTAAAACCCAAACCAATGGAGCAGAGGAGTGGACCTGAGAGATAAAGTTGTCTCTGAGTTCTGCTCCTCTTCTTGGTGGGCGGGTCCAATAGCCAGCCTGCTAGTGACTTTTGCAACTTGAAATAGACGACGGGGGCACCGTGGGGCGGGGGGTTAGAGTGGTCGAGGTTACGCCTGCCTTAGGCAGCTGCCTAGTTTGCCTAGTGGTAGCACCGGCCTTGGATAGAGCACACATTTCGGCAGGCATCATTCACGGTCACCATCTCCTTCCTGGGCTGAGATGCCGCAATAATGTAAATCCTGGTGCTTGTCCAGTTCTTCATTCACAAATATCTGACACAGGTCAGCCCCTGCTGTAGCCTCTCACCTTGTGACTTGCTGTCAAGTTTTCAGGAAGCAATGCACAGCACTCTACCGGCCCCCCCCACCAGCCATGATCTGCCTGCATTGCACAGAGACCCAGTGATGACATCATACAGTCTATCATTAGCATGTTGATGGGGGGGGGGAACCAGGCAAGGCAAAATATAATCAGATTAAGCTTCAGCTGTACTATTGGCCAAGTGGCAGTTACAGTGACAACTTTCTCAGCCCTTTAACCCGTGTAGACAGATCGGCGTGAATGTCACCGGCTCCTTTACCTCTCGATTTCCAGGGGGGGCCATGACGGCTCGGTGTCTTGTGTCAGCCAACTGTATGTTCCGCTGTGACTCAGGGACATGAAACCGGACCGCGCTCTGCTATTAATACAGACTGTACTGTACAGTTCTTAGCGGCATTGCATCAGGCAGCAAACACAATGATAAATCAGAGAAAAGTGAACTCTGTGCAAAGTAAAAAGAAATAGATGACAATCGTTTTGCTTGCCAGAGTACTTGGCCTCTACTGCATGCCGCACTGCATTTAAAGTGGACCTTTCATTGACTTGCATAGGACCTTCCCAAGACATGTTACAATATCAGTTTTCAGAAAGGTTCCGCCTTTTATCATTAAAGTTCATGTAAAGCAGAGTGGAAAGGGTTAAAATCCCTATCAGATTATTTTATTCTGTCTGTGTGGCCTGCTGGGGAAATATCACTTCACTTCCTGTCCTGGAGGCACAACAGGAAGTGAGTGGAAATCTCCCAAGGTGGGAGGAATTCCCCTCTTAGCCAGTCACTGGAACGGGTATCAGTGTTGAAATAATGTATCTTACCTCTTGTTCTGGAGACAGATCTAACATTTTGGGTTAGTCTTTCTATCATGGCGGCTCTGCATCACACGTGGGAGTTACCTAGGGCGGTCTGCATGCAAATACAACCTGCCAGAGGCTTCCTGAGGCGGGGTGACACCCTGTGCGGGTACCGGGTGACACCCCGCGGTGACATCATCGCGTATGCGCGTGATGACGTCACGCGCCGTACCGCTGTTACCTGCCGGCGGCCATCTTGGTGATGGACGCCGGCAGAGAGAGGAGGGGACGTCACCTGGCGGGATAAGGTATGCCGCCGGGTCCCCCCCTCTCTTGAGCAACTGTCGGGCTCTCGGTCCTTGACTGAGTGCTTGACTTTTCAGAGGGGTGTGACACCAAAATGACTGTCAGTCATTTTGCTGTCACCCCTCCAATGGTGTCACCCAGTGCGGGCCGAAACCCCCTTGTGACGCCACTGCAGCCTGCCAAGCAACACCCACTCCTCCAGACTGACATCCACCCATCAAGGCATTTTGATATTTGCATAACTCCTCCCAAGAGCCAGCCCACTGCTTACATCAGGGCTGAGAGCTCTTTCAGGAAGCTATGTACAGCACCCTGCTGGCTCCTCCCACCTGCCATGAGCTGCCTGCAATGCATAGAGTAGCACAAAGACCCATTGATGACATCACTGGATCTAAAATATGGGATGCAATGAAAATGGAAAGATTTTATTTAAAAATTCCATTAGCATGTTGATTGGGGGGGAGGGGGAGAGGAACCGGAGAAGGCAAAACATAAGCAATTTAAACTACAGCTGGAATATTGGCAGGGTTGATAAAAGATTCTTAACTGGATATCCTGCCAGTAACGACACTTCCTGCTGCAGGCTGACAACGCCAAGCCACTGCCTTGCAATTGGCAGCAGCCTGCCCTGCGCTCTCATTTGGCCGTTGGGTCTACACATGCCTTCACCTGTGTCACTTTGTTTTCTTCTCTACAGTTTTAAGGAAACCGCCTTCCAATGCCCCAACTAACCCCATGGTGACAGAGAAAATCGACACATCCGTTAAATTAGTCTGGTCCCCTCCCCCGATGGATCGACCAGTGCCCATCGATGGCTACACCGTAGAACGTAAGAAGCTGGGAGCCATGACCTGGGTCAGGTGCCATGACTCGGCCAACGTGCCCGTCCCAGAGTTCACAGTCACCCATGTGCCAGATGAAGGAAGCTTTCAGTTCCGTGTCAGTGCTATCAACAGCTATGGACAGAGCCCGTACCTGGAGTTCCCTGGAACGCTATATCTAGGTGGGTTTTTATAACTGGAGGTCTGTTATGGCTGTCACTCAGATCTACCGGCACAAAACACTGGAGGGGGGGAAGCTGTATTGTTTTTGTCCTAAGTCCTAGGTGTAGCACTTCTCCTCTAGGGGTGATGCAAGATGACCCCACCTCATGTAGTGTGGTAGGCTAACAGTTCCATCTCAGAGTTGGGTTCTTGGTGTATGGTAGGGATCAAAATAAGTTTAGTGCCAAACACTTTAGTCTTCTTAGAAGTTATTGCTAACCTCAGTTTTAGGAGTGAAGGTTCAGGGGCACAGGATACCCAACCAGGGCCGTCTTTAAGGCAGGGCAAAAGGGGCAGCTGCCCCGGGCCCAGTCATTGCTTTGGGGCCTTGTACCCCATAAACTAGTGCTAATGCTGCATCTGCACCGGCCACCTCTTCGGCATTGGGGAGGGGGCTGGCACAGCTGGCTCTGGGTCTACAGAGGCAGAGCCAGCTATCAACCAGGTAGCGGGGTGGATCCAGACAATATTGTTGCGATCTTTCTCGAGCTGCAGCGTGGCTCTGTGCTGTCAGAATATAGCAGGCAATATTGCATGGCGGGGCAAAATGCATTTGCCCAGGGTCCAATCAATATTAAAGGCGGCCCTGTACCCAACAAAAGCACAAAAATCGGACAGCTAGCATTAAACCCTTTAAGAGCGGCCAGACAGATCTATGACCCTATAAGAGTAGTCACACTCATTCTTAAGTTACACTTGATCACTGTCTAATCAGTGTGGCCTTCACCCTCTCTTAGCAGGTGCAGATACCTTGATTTATGTGCAATGAATCCTTCTTGCAATGTCCAGCAGTAGATCCTACCCAGCTCCTCTAAAACACTCCTCAGCATTGTAGATGCCATACAGATCCTACCTCCAGGCAACCTTCTTCTTGCTCAGCTACCCCTAAATACTGAACACTGAACACCCTTTTAACCCCTGAACACCCTCTAGCAGCTTAAGTCCTGGAGTTCCAGCACATGCCCTTAGCTGAGGCAAGGCCGTAGTAGAAAGAACACTCCATACCTACATCTTTTCTAAGCAGAAGTTGGGGGGAGACAAACACTCTGGAAAGTTGCTCCAAATATTTTATTATCTCCCTAAACTATTCTACTGGAATTGGTTGGGTCAGGAAAATATTCATATTGGCTTAGGGCCTGAACAACACACAGGGATGAAAAGCTTATTAAATAATAAACAGTTGTTACATTATTTCTCATATGGCCAAACAATTATTTAGACCTCTTCCAAGATGCTTTTATGTTGAAATTAAAGTGGCGCTAAACTCAGGAGTTACATCTTAAAAATACATTCAAGTCCCTTAACTATGAACAACAATGTATCTTATTTGTGTATCACTCGGCTGTAGATCCTCCAATCATCTCTGAATTGGTGCTGACACTGTCCTTCCTTCTGGAGGGTGACTACATTTGTTTCCCCATGGTCCCTGTGTGTGTTGTAAAGTAGTCATCATGCCAAGCTCGCTCCCGGGATGAACTACAATCTCACGTTTAGTTTACTCATTTGCATTAAGATTGTAGTCCATCCCGGGAGCGAGCTTGGCATGATGACTACTTTACAACACACACAGGGACCATGGGGAAACAAATGTAGTCACCCTCCAGAAGGAAGGACAGTGTCAGCACCAATTCAGAGATGATTGGAGGATCTACAGCCGAGTGATACACAAATAAGATACATTGTTGTTCATAGTTAAGGTACTTGAATGTATTTTTAAAGGAGAACTATGAGGTGAGTGGTTTTCATTCACCTCATAGTTCTAGCCGACCTGTGACAATGAGACTGTCACAGGTTGGCTCAGTAGAGCGGGAGGTGAGTGAACACATACCATCGTTCGCTCACCTCTCGATGCTTTTCACTCACCTCATAGTTCTAGCCGACCTGTGACAATGAGACTTTCACGGTAGATCGGGAAGTGAGCGAACACATACCGGCGTTCGCTCACTTCTCGATCCTGTCACGGCTCTCTGCCGTGACAGAGGAGGGGCTGGATTCCCCCCTCCCATCCACCAGCTCTGACTGGCGGAACGGACGGAGGAGGGGGCGGGTACAGCTGGCTCTGCCTCTAGATAGGCAGAGCCAGCTGTCAGTCACGCAGCTGGGCGGATCCCGGCACAATTGTCGGGATCCGCTTCAGCTGCGGCGTCTCAGTATACAGCGAGCTACAGCTCGCGGTATACTGAGCCTAGGGTGACGGGAGGACGCTAGTTTGTGTCCTCCCGTTACTCTAAGGAGAACTATGGGGAAAAGCCTTAACCCCATAGTTCTCCTTTAAGATTTAACTTTTAGTGTCACTTTAATGTGCCAATGTTCTCCCTATTTTTCCTAAACTCTCCACTCCTGTAAGTAATAAAGCTTATTGCAGGCCCCCAGAATTCATAGTGCTTGTGTAACCGTCTTTTCTAGAACCCGTCCCGGCCGTCAAGCTTCCCCTGAGACCCGTTGAGGTCACTGTGGGTCAAGAAGCAACATTCACTATTGACCTCACCACCGTATCCTCTGGCACTTGGACGATAAATGGTAAAGTTGTTGAAAACAGTGAACAGTATCTGGTGAAACGGATAAAGAACACCCACATGCTGGTCATCAAAGCTGTTGACCAACTGGAGGACCAAGCCGAAGTCAAATTCACCTGTAAAGGCATCGAGAACAGCACCAAACTTCAAGTGAAAGGTAGCGCCTCGCGAGTGTCTTCAGTTGACTGTACAAATTACCAATTGATCTCCTTTAGAGGTACCAACAACTATGCAGTGCCGGGGGCCTCCCTTGGGTACAGTGTGAGTGGATCTTTTTTGAGAGGCCCTCACTTTATGTTGTTTTGGTAACTCTAAAAAAGATTTATGGAGGTTGCAGAATCAGATTGTAAAGTGTCTGACCAACTTTAATGTGACTGATATTACCTGCTGATACGTTTATCACCCCCTGCTGTTCTGGAATTACATTTTGGCTTGGAGGAGGCTTTGGTTAGTGGAAACCTTTGCTACAAAATTACTTCTTAAAGGGCAACTTCAGTCAGTCAGGTAAAACAAAGCAAAAACACATTTGCAAGGTCTGTTTTACATGCCAAAAGGTCTGGGAAAACAATGCATGTATTTCTAGGACCAGCTAAGCACCCCCTCCTCCGACCCATCAGGTTGCAGAACAGCCATGCCCACCACAAGCCTGTTTTTGCTGTCGGCTGGTGTGTGGCAAGTAATTATAAGTAGTTTTAATAGGAAAACATAAGCAAACTAAATATGTTTTCAAAATAAATTTGCCATGAATAGATTATATTTCAAGTGGAACACCTGCTACGAAACCATGTACAGTGGGACACATGCAAGACTCTGCAGATGGCTAAAACTATACAAAAAGTTTTACCATTATAAACTTTAAAGGGAACATTTATAAAGCAGTGAATCTGACATTCAGAAGACATTCTCAGCAGGTGAATCTTCCAGGCGCATGTATTTTAATTGACAGTGATTGATCCAACACTATTGAACTCTGCTTTATAAATAGACTTCTAAGAGCTTTGCTGGGGTCGAGAGCGAATGCTGATGTACATGACTGAGGACCTCGGGGCTAAAGCCTCCATCGGCAATCTTGTGTGGTCAGGCAAGGAATGTTCTCTGTAGGAGTTACTCTAAATGCTTTGTAGAGTCAAAGATTCGCCCTTTGACAATGGTGGATGCTTAAATTATCCGGCATGGGTCAATGTAACATTGGCTGCAGTTATAAATACACCGGACCCTGCTGAGATCTGAATTCCCCATTGAAGAATAAAAACTCCAGATTTTAGGTCATCACCAATACTGAATGAGACCCAATAGGGTGAATGTAGGGCCAAAACCGGCCAACAAATCTCCTTTACACAACAAATCTCATGATAAGCGTTCAGAGACGAAAAAAAGCAGCAAAGGTTAACCCAACTGATCCAACAATTTAAAGTTGTGTTTCTTGAATGGCTCGACCCCCGCAAGGGCTCTTCCCCGAGACTGAATTTAGAAAGAATGTCATTCGGTCCTAAAGAGGCAAGCATGTGTGTCTTGTATCAAGAATGGCAGCGGCTTACAGTCACATTCCATGAATGTGAGTCAACTGCTTGTCCCTGGGACTGGCCAATGATCTGCTGGTCTCAGGCTTGTGGTGTCCACTATCTAAATGCTGAATTATTATCAAAGGCAGA